TTTTGGAGAGCTATTGAACAGTTCCCCGCTTTTCCCGGTAAATTAGACTATTCTCATTTCGTTATTTCATCCATTGCTACAGGGTGAAAATGATATTGAACAGCTTTGGTTCGTCATCAGGGTTTTGGGGACTCCGAAAGAATCCAAATGGCCAGTATGTCTTGATAAGTTCCATATTTATGTGTATGGATACATCAGCATCACCGCACCTCAGATTCTAAAAGGACCAATTTGATATCATTGCTTTTAGCTGCTGCAAATACCATAAGTAATAAGAAATGATAGATCCCTGCTAACGATTGATTGGTCGCTTGAACATAACAGATGAAACCAAGGTTTCGACTTGTGCCTTTTAGAAGATTACTATTTTGGCTATACTGATTTTGCTATCCAATTTTGTTATACCACACCGAGTACTCGATAGCTGTTTCACTCAGCACTATTTACTAGTGCATACTTTTGATACTCTTCCCTTTTACCATACAACCAACGCTTGAATTCTTGAATGAGTGACCACATAGAGTTGTTATGTTAATTTAGTATCCGCTTACTTCAGTTCACAAAGACAAAATAAACCAATACAGTGAAGTTGGGGCTATTTGTCCAATGGATTTATTCCAGTAGAAAATTACGCAAAGGAATTTACGCAATTTCTACAGTTATGGAACATTGATCCCGAATGATTGAAAACAACTGTTTTTGCTTCCTTTCTAGTCATTCAATTCTATAATCAATTTTCAGAGGGGTGGGGGAACGTGCTGCGGTCAATTTACAGCCGCACGGGGACATACATAAATGGGAAAGATGGGTGGCGGTGGCCAACTTGAAACACATCACTTCCTGGCTGTCGTAGTGATGCTGACGTTGACCAAAGCATACTCATAACCCCGACTTGTTTAATATTAGTTCGAAATTATAGTTTATGAATCAATTTCAACAGTTTCATTTGTTGGACTCCGATTGAAATGGTGAACTGCTGTCTTCATTTTTATCCTTCAAAGGAGATCAAAGATCTTCCCGACTACAATAAAATTACATTTAATGTCTGTGAACCGGTTCCATTCGAGGAAGTACTGTCAGACGCGTCACCAGAAGCTGTTGATCTCGCGAAATGCTTTCTTACGTACCCACCCTACGAAAGAATATCTGTGACCAAGGTAGGCATCCTGTGTAGCCCCATATTCTTTCATATATCTATATCTTCATAGGCCAGTATATATGTATATTTATATATGTATATAACCTTATTTGGCGCTATGTTTGTCCAGAAGCCGCTAATAATTATATATACATATATTTGATTCAATAAATTTATCTTGGCATCATGCATAGGTATTGTTTAGTTTTTAGATCCGTGAAGGAAAATTTTTGGATTAGCCATGACGATAAAAAATCAAAAATAAGTCTATTTTTTTTGGCGACGACGTTTCGACCCTCTTGGAAGGCCTCTATCAAGTCAAGAGGGTCGAAACGTCGTCACCAAAAAATAAACTTGATTATTGGTTTTTTTATCGTCATGGCTAATCCAAACGTTTTCCTTCACGGATCTAATACTATGAGCATGACGCACAATTAATTCAGTAACATCCGTTCCAAATTTGGATCTGATATTGTGAAACTTGTCAACAAGCGTATAAATCTCGTGATTGTTTAGTTTGTTTTTGCCTGTTTACTGCATGCAAATTCGACTGTTTTTACGTTTGGGATTGGAGACAGGAAGGGGTGCATTCACGCCACTGACTTCGGTAAGATGATATATGCCGCAGTGTCACCAGCCAAAGACACTGAATCTTTGGGGCTCCAACCGGGAAACCGGGAAGTTCAGACGAAAGCCAAATCCGATCCCAATCTCTGTCTGACTGAACACCTGCTTCGTCCGTGTTAGGGCTCGTCAGCAGTGCATGAATTTCGGGTCTTTGTGGAAGATCTAACGGCCCACTTTCAGGTTGACATTTGCCCTGAGCTGTACTATCAACGGCCACAGCGAATAGTTTTATCAGCTTAGAATGCTATGTCGGAGTTAACGTATACAGTACGGCAGACTATGCCTGGTTCCTGTAAAAACCGAATTGGCTAACGTAAGCATGGCATTCCACATATTCACCTTTGATCTGAAGTGTTACTCTTGTTTTATTGCCAGCGCCACATTGTTACGAGGAAGTATACGTTTTCGAGCATCTTAGCTTTGTGCTGCACTGCAATAACTACTTATTTGTCTACATAGACAGATTTAGTTTGAAGAAATTAGTCGAAAGAATAAATATGGAGAAAGGTGACTGGGTTTTTTGAAACATTTGGATTAGTGATTGCACAATGATATTCCCAATGCAACCAGAAAAACGAACAGATTCCATGCGATTGGCTGAACCCTCGCATAACATTGTCTGCCAAGAAATGATTCAATTCTCGTTCGTTATATTAAGCCGGATGCGTGTATGATTCTGCATTTAGGAACCAAATCATCTGTATCAAGGAGCAGGAGAAACATATTTTTACTACCTTAGTTTTGTTGACCGGTTTTACTTAATGGTTTGTATAACCGTTATTCGTGAGGTGGAAACAGCAGCATCAATCAGAGTAAAAGCGGCATTTCGGCTTCGAAAACTTCGCCAGGATAATTCTCCATGGCGGAAGGCGAGGCCAAAGCAATACTCCAGCGGACCCACAAACTGAAAGGAACTCCGGTGCAGTTCCTCAGGGATTTTGATCTGGACCAGCGCAGTAAACTCAAAACTGCATTGAAGGAACTCAGGGAGGGCCGTGAAACTGATCTGTGTACACGGGATTTTCGTGTGCATCGGAAGCACCCTCAGCTGCGTTGGCTACCTTTGGCCGGGGGGAGAACCCAGGAGATTGTTTAACCACGAACGGGGGGATTAGCTTGAGGTGCAAATGGCGAGGTAACCACGCTGTGCCAGCCTCAACAAATATCCGAGGGATGCTGGGAAAAAGGGATGAGTTCGAGGACTGGGTTGTATCCCACAATCCCGATCTTTTTGCAATCACTGAGACCTGGCTGACACCGGATGTCCGAGACTCCGAAATATCACATCAAGGTTACACAGTGTTACGAACGGATCGATCATCGTCACGTCGCGGTGGTGGAGTTGTTCTTTTTGTTCGCTCGGGTCTCCCTGTTCGAGTGCTGGAGAACTACACCCATCCGAAAGAATTTGGAGAAGCTCTGTGGTGCAGAATCAAGCTTTGTGCCGGAGGGTGTACCACAGTTGGAGTGATCTACCGCACACCGGCTGCCTACGTCCCAGAGCTGTTGGCCAGCATACAGAGGTACGCCTGCGATGGGCAATGTCTTCTCTTGGGTGATTCCAAAGCGCCACATATTGATTGGGAAACTGAAATCTGCTCTCTGCACGCGGATTTGTTTTCCAGAGAGCTTCTTTTCGCTGTCTGGGCTCTCTCGCTTGTTCAATATGTTCATGTGCTCACGCCGATAGTTGGGAATCACAAATCCATCCTTGACTTGGTGCTCTCGCCGAGGCAATCAGATACAACCAGGATTGATTTCCTTCCACTAATTGCATTTAGTGATCATTCCGTTCTGCGTATACACTGGAGGCGTGGCGTACCCCAAACGGACAGACCACAGGACGGACTGAATGTGTGACGCGTCAGGCTGAATCGCTCATAAATTGGGATTCCCGAAACCCTGAGGATGTGGATAAATCCTGGGAGTTGGTTCATCACCTCGTGCTGGAATTTTCTCCACTCCACCGCCACCGAACACACGCTGTGGTTTGATCGAGAATTGCGGGTGTGCTTCCGGCAGCGGAATAAAGCCTGGCCCAGGTACCATGCAAAAGGCGCAGGATATGAGGAATATCGAGCTATTCGGAATCACTGTACTGCACTGAAAAAATGCAAGAGATCCATATTCGAGGAACGCCTCGCAGCGGATTCTGTACAGGCGCCAAAGCAGTTGTATGCCTACCTCAGGCGAAATATTAGGACTAATCCGGGCCTCCCGACTCTCGCCAAAGACGAGGACAAAGCGGAGATATTGGCGTCACACCCCAGGATCCAGCACATGGGCACTGACACTGCCCTGAACTGAACTCCATTCACCATCGGAGAGGTGGCCCGGGAGCTGCATCAGCTAAAGGTTCACCAATCACCTGGACGTAGTGGTGTAC